ATCAGGGCCTTAACAAATGGATGGAGTATAGACCAGCCTGCAAGAGGTAAGGAAGCATGGGGAGAGGTGACTAGAGAGTAAGTTGTCTTGTTTTCCTGTGGATGGCAGAGAAGAACTATATAATGCACATTTCCCACTTGAGCCCCTCAAGAGGACCATCTTTTTATTTAGAGGCCATCCACCATATCTTGTTTTGCTTTTGTCTTCCAGTATGGCCCACCTGGAATCTATCAACCAGGTGCGATAACAGATCGAGTAGTTCTCAATTTGTATAGTGGCTTGGCAGAGAACCGAGTGTATGGCTACCTGCTGGATAAATGCAAGGTGAGGAACCTCATATTTTATTGATTTTGCCAATGTGGCATCCCTAGAATCTGAAATGTAGGGTGAGTTACATATTCTTCTCTTGTGAGATTGATTGTGAATGAAATTGATGAATATATAAGTGTATGCATTGTATTGCTGTTTATTAATAATAAACATGCTTAAGTGCATGTGTAGTGCTATTAGGTAGCACTACATTGCTAAAAATGTTTTAAAATATTAATTTTGACTGGTTGTCTTCTGATTTGATTTTTAAAATTTGGTTATAAATGATACAATTGTTTTTAAAAAATTTCTTTCCTTTGGGAAGGGTTAGATCTTTGGAGGTTCTGTGGTGCCAACGTTATGTTCCTTTGTTTTTATTAGCTAGGAAAATTAGAACAAGAGTTTTATAAAGATAGTGACCTGTCTATAGGAACCACCATCAATGTGTGGGGAAGGAAAGTGCTCCTTTGTGACTGTGATGAATTTACGAAGACTTATTATAAGACTAAATATGGAATTGGTAAGTGATACATCTGTCAATTAGAAAATATTGAAAACTTCGAATCTTTGTTCTATAGTTAAGATTTTACTTTTGAATTTCAAATGCTAAGCTCATAATAGCTACCATTTATTAAGTATTTGCTATCTGCCAGGCATTTTGTCATCTTATTTCCTCCTAACATCAATTCTAGAAGGATAGGCTTTATCCCCGTTTTAGAGGTGAAGAAACTGAGGCTTAAAGTGGGCAAACTTGTTAAAGGTCATGCAGCAAGTAAAGAGAGAAGCAAGATTTAAACTTGTTTCCTTGATGCCAGAGGCTTCTGTTTTCCTTTATAGCCCTCGGCCTCACTATAATATGGGTAAATGTTTTGGTCAAGCAATTGAAATGGGAATCTAGATGCTTTTCTTTTCACTGAATTCTTGCCTACACAATGGATATACTTATTTGTGTTCTCTGGAGAATTCTCTTGTGCTCATTTGCTCTACCTTTCCCGGGTTTCCAGCTTCTATCTTCTTTAATGTATCAATTTCATTCAGGTTAGTTCAGTTCAGAATGAAAACCAGTGATTTATTAAACACCTACTAAGTGCATGTCATTGCAGTAGTCTTTGATGCTACAGAGTTGAGTAAAGAGTTTTTAGGCTGGAAGGGGAGCACGGACCTACAACATATTATATGGTATTCTGAGAGTCATAGAAACAGGTGGAGGACTTGGTGCGAAGCCAAAAAAACGAACCCCTCATTTGTTAAACCTCCTAGCCAGCTCTGCTCCCTTCCTGGGCCCTCTACCCCAGGTTCCAGATACATGCCGGTGCTAGGCTAAGTAGGGGTGGTAGGAGTTGTTAACCTCCCAGATTGGGGTGTAGAGCTGGAGTTGTGGAATGCTTACTCTTCTACTCCTCTCTCCACCTTGGAATAGTCATGTGAGCACAGTTCCCTGAGGGATGAAATGGAAGCCACAGAAGCAACCACAGCTTTCTAAAAGACAAGATGCTTGTCTCTAGAATGAAATGAGGCCCACCTATGTGCCTTGGTGTCCCCATTGTGTAGTATTCCTGGCCTCCTGGGAATTTTTACATTGTGAGAGAAGGCACACTGAGTGCACCAAGGGATTGGCATAAAAAAAGGCTTTTAATTTCACTCTTTGGTTCATTAAAAGAATTTGTTCCACTGCATCTGCCTGCCAAAATAGACAAGAGGTGTGGGCATTATAGGGTCATACTGGTGGCCTCTTCTTATTTTATTTTCTAACATTGGTTCTCCTTAGTGGACACAATTGGGTATATTTGTTTTGGGGACTGTGCTCAAGAGGCAGCCAGGAATGTGCAGGTGGTGGCTGTTGTCGAGAAGCTGCTAGTGACCCTTAGATCACTGGGAGAAGAATTTGGTCTTTAATAAATGTAAATGCCTAATTATAATCAATAGGTCTTCAGTGCAGACTTGAAAATTTGAAAAAAAATATAAAATATGAATCACGAAAACATTTACTTGTGTCCTACTGACAGATAACCTTAATATAGAGGATGTGGTGAAGGTTCCAAAATATCATATGATCCTTTAAACATAAAGTCTCACATTTGATTGAGGCCTGTCTGTCAGCTTGATTTTGAGACTATAAAGGTTGCACTTGAGAAAATGAATGTAGTGCTGGAGAGACATGGTTCATTGTTCATTGTTCATTTCTTAATGGGTTTGCAGGGATCTTTGAGAGGCAGGGTAAATTCACTGGTATACTCCAAATTTAGCTGTCTTTCGCAAATATATCAGCTTCAAATGCCCTATGGTTCTTTTCAGTTGAGCCCTAGTGCTTAATTTCTTTCTGCTCACTTCTTTTGTTCACTCTATAGACTTACTGTATTATGTACTTTGCACCTTCAAAGCTAATATAACATTAGCATTATGCATTTAAACAGAAAATTATGCAAATTCAAAATTATGATGCATTTTATAGTCACGCTGACTTTTTATATTCCCATAATATATGTTAAAATATCCCATTTAGCAAATACTATTATTACACAACATTTCTTGAATAACAACAGTGTACTTGATGTAACTAATGACTAGAAATTATATCCACTGTGCAGAGTAGACGGGGAGTGAATAAATATTCTCTCATAATCTTTACATTTGCTTTTCCTGACTTTTTGGTAAGGTTAAATTAATATACTTAATGTTACTTAGATAATTATTTCTGGCATTTTAATTTTGTTTATAATTTGTATTGTTCTAAAATTCATAAGACTGACCAAATTATATGCATTATATTTTGGTATCCCTGATGCCCAAACCAGGACAAAATCCCATCAATAATTGTGGTCACATTTCTTCCCTTGTCAATAATGTAGTCAGTAGAATGCCTGGCGTCTCTACTCTGCAGCACCACAGGAGCTGACAAGTGGAAATAACATAGCTAGGGAACTCTCTAAGAGGAAGCTAGGGGAACATTTCTAATGCAGTATATAGCCTTGGTGCTTTAGTACCTTCTCTTAAGTAGTGATACCCCAACATTTTGGGGGGAGAAAAAATGGCAGACAGCCTAAGAGAAGGAGCTGGCTATAGTCCCAAGAAAGGCACATGAGTAAGCTTTCTATTTATGTAGAAGCAGAGGGCCTGATAGAATTCCAAGAGATATCTGTACCCCCATTTAAAACCAATTTGACTCCTAAAAAAGAGGAGATTCTTTCATGTATTTAAGGTTTCTAAGAAGAAGGTGGTTCCATAGAATTCTTCCACAAAACAGCCCAATATGACTTTCCCAGTAGGCAGCTTTGCCATCCTGCTGGTCCAGGCTCGTCTGCCGTGCTGTAGCATGTTATTTCCTCATTATTTCATGTGGATGAACACAGACTGGCAAATGAAGGCCTGTTGGACTTTCCTGTAGCATGAAGGTTGGAAAAAGCTCCAGGATCTCCAGTAGGTGTTTCTTTCACTGAAGGGTCACAGATTTGAATGTAAACTGTTCGTACTTAGAATTCTTGCCATGGGTTATTATTTCTTTGTCTATAAGGGACTTATTATTGATTTTCAGTGGCTGGGCCAATCAAACTAGTAACAAGACCATTCATTCCCATTGCCCTTGAATACTTATTAGGCTGTACTGATATCAAGGATGAACAAAAAACTTAAAACATCTTTAATTTTGTGGAGTAATTTTTAACCATTTCTGCATACTTGGTACTAGAAGCAGGAGGACATCCAAGATGAAAGGTTTATTAACCATCATTTGAGCAAATTAGCCATCCCAAGGTATAGCGTTAGGGATGGAATTCACTTCTAGTCTCACCATATGGCCTAACGAATCTGACAATTTTGTCTCTTTTTTCCTCCCTTATGAAGAGGGTTGAGAATTAGTAGATGATTTCTAAGGATTTTTTAGCTAGAGCTAGAAAATGATGTGATTCACTAATTATTTGACCCAAAAATGAGCATCCCACCAAAATCATTCAACTTGAGTATTGAGTACAAGCAGAGATGGATTTACCTTGAAGCTAATAAAGATAATGAAAATTAAGCTTTAGAGTTCTTCCTTTGCAAGGGCCCCAGTCCAAAGCCCTGGGCCTAATTTCTTCTTAATAATTTGGCATTCTTTATTTTGAAGAGCTTCTCTCAGATTATATAAACTTCAGGCCTCCCAAAATCTGGGTCCATATCTGGGTTACTAGAACATACAAGATGAACTTTGGTGGTAATCGAAGGCTTTTCCCAGAATTGTTTCCAAATGAGATGACGAATAGTAAATCACTGTGAAGGAACATTAAAAACTTTAAGAAATAATTTCAGCTCCATAAATTTGTTGGAACCCAGTTAATTGTGGATAGACATTCAATATATATGTTTTTACAAGTCACTTGGAATTAGAGGAATCAGACTATTTGAAAGACAGATGTCTCAGGATCCAGCAGAATGTCAGTATAAGAAGATATTTAGGAAGATGCTTTGTATAAATATGTATACTTTTTCATTTATTCACCAAATATTTTTTAACACTTGAAACACGCAGGATACTGGGATGATAGAAACCAAAGACAGGAAACTTACTCAGGTGCAAGTCCAAAGCTTTGTTAATGCAAGCAGTTACCAGAGAAATGATATCTTCATTTAGAGTATCCAGAAAGATGTATGTGGGGTTATAACAGTCAGGCGTGATGGAATGGAAAACTTCTTGGCTTTTATACACTAGATGGCACTGTGGGTGCAGAAGAACACTAAATTGGTTCTTTTGTTACTTAAATCTTGCAAAAATGATATTAGTTGAGAAAATACTGTTGTGAAATCTATAATTTTGGGGAGAAGTATAGAATGCATTTTTAATTATTTTGCAATTCAATGTGTCTTGTTTTAGTTAGACTGCTCAGATTAGTGTGTAGAATTATGTGTGTGTGTATATGTCCTGTTAGAAGAAACTGATTATTCCCCAGTTTTCTAATAATCACATAGAGTCCTTTCTCTGAAATGAAAGTACTAATTGGTGATGTATTTCATGTAACAGCAATGATAGGGTCTACTGCAATTTTGCCTAATTCTAAGATTTGAACTTTCTTCTTTATTACCAAAGCTTCTCTTTAATTGCCACAAATATAGCAATAGGAGAGGCTCATGAGTCACTTCTCTACCTGTGTTCTGGCCACCCTTTTACATTGAGCCAGAGAGAATTTTATGATGACGTTCTCTTTGCCAGTAGGTCTTCTGTGAACAGTTTTTGTTAGGATGAAACAATACTCTTTGGGGATTCTGCTTGAGGGTATTTCCCACACAGGCTCTTAGGAATTCTAAAGGAATGTGAACGTTGAAAATGTTTTCAAATTAGAATTAGAAATAACATCAAACCCTAAACCTTTTGATGAATCAGTAAAAAAAAAAAAAAAAGAGTTCCTCAATTTTAAGAATTAGGTTGCCTTGGAATACAAATTGATGCACATTTTATATTTACTTTTTTAATTTTTCAATTACAGTTGACATTCAATATTATTTTATATTAGTTTCAGGTGAACAGCATAGTGGTGAGACATTTATATGATTTATGAAATGACCCCTTGATCAGTCTAGTACCCACCTGGCACTATATATAGTTATTACAATATTATTGACTATATTCCCTATGCTGTACTTCACATCCCCGTGACTACTTTGTAATTACCAATTTTTACTTCTTAGACCTTTTACCTTTTTCAGTTATAGAGGTGTGTACTAAATCTGTACTCTTCCTGATATTACAATTTTGACAATGGAAAAGGAAATCTTTGCTTATGCGAAATTCCTTTCAGTCACCAATGGCAACACCTGTGGATACTCAAGTTTGGGGAAGAAGTAGAAATTAGATTCCATGGGTTGTATTGTTCTGGTTCTGTTTCAGGAAAGATTCTGGCATCTGTTTTGCCATTTTCGTGGGACAAACAAGAGATTTGGATCTATTGGGTCAGTGTGTTCTTTGCTGTGGAGAGCACACTTGCTTCCCAGAGATTGTGCAGCCTTACAAATGAGTACTTAATTATGAATATGTCCTCAACTCTTTCTCCATCTCTCCTTTTTTACAGATGATAAGTAAATGAAGAAAACCGATAGTATTTGCCACTTAACACTCCTTTTGAGTAAGCCGTGGCTGTTCTAAAAGTTTTATTGTTTGCTTGGTTTGGGTTTTATTCATTCATTCATTCATTCATTCATTTATTTATTTAATTTATTTTTATTTTTTTGCTTCATCACATTTTAGTACAAGTGTATTCTTTGGGGGGCGGCAGTAAGAAGAGCAACCTGGAGCAGGGGTTGGTGACATAAAGTTTTGTTTTTGTTTTTTAACTAGAAAGTGAAGTGCCATGGCCTGGAGTTGAGTTAGAGGAAAGGGAGAGGGCTGAAAAAGTGGGCACAGGAGGAAGAGACAGTGAATAGGGAAGGTTAAGGCAAAATAGTCAGGAGTCAGTATTGTTCGGAAAGGAATTGGATTAGTGAGTGTTGACTAAAGAGAGGAGAGGGCTAAATTACAGGTTCAAATATAGAATCCGTGGCATGAAGTTCTAAGTTTGAATTTTCATATCATTGGAAAAATCAGGGATGAACAAAAAATATTCAGAAATGGGATGTGATGACAAAAGATAAATGTTTACTTATTTGACATAGACAGTTTCTTTTTTTTCCCTTTCTTTTGAACCAGCGACGATTAATGAGAGAGTTCTGTGGTTTTTGTGAACATGATTGAAACCTACCCTCACAAGATTTTGCTGTGTTTTGTTTGAAAGAGTTTAAAATAGTCTACAAAGATCTCTATGTTCATCCTGAAAACATAACAAACCTTTCAAAACAGCCATAATCAGGACAAAAAAAATATTGATGTTTCATTTGCTTTTGTTTTTGCTCTAGAGAACTTTACCTCGATTCCATGGAAGGCTCCATCTCCTCCAAAAATAGAAAGGAAATTTCCACCTTATACCGGCTTTGGTTCTGAAGAGGATTCTCTCCGCTCTTGTATAGGCCTCGTGCCCATGCCTCGTCCTAATCTGGGGAACTTCAGGAAGTTCATGGAAAAAGACAGGTGCTTGAAGGAACCATGAATTTGGTCTGATATTTCCCAAATGTGTTTGAGACTTATAATATAGTCCTCATGACGAAACATCAAGGTTAGAGGTCCCCAAGCCCCAGGCCATGGACTAGTACTAGTCCGTGGTCTGTTAGGAACCAGGCCACACGGCAGGAGGTAAACGTTGAGTGAGCGAGTGAGCTCAGCTTCATCTGTATTTGCAGCAGTTCCCCAGTCTCAGTTTCATCTCAGATCATTAGGCATTAGATTCTCATAGGAGCACTGGTCCCTGCTGCCAAAAAGGTTGGGGACTGCTGCTCTAGATGACCTTCAGCTCATCTAATTTCAAGACCAGGAACATATTGTTATAGCTTTTTCATGAAATTGATTACCATGCAAGTATTAATGGGTTCTTACTCAAGTGATTATTTTATTTTATGTTTTATGAGTTTACTGAGATAGAATTGACATTGTATAAATTTAAGATGTACAACATGATGATTTGATATATATATATAGAAAAATGATTACCACAATAAGATTAGTTAATGTCCAGCACCTCGCATAATTATGATTTTTTCCCTTGTGATGAAAACTTTTAAGATTTACTCTCTTAGCAACTTTTAAATGTGAAATATAGTATTGTGAACTATAGCCATAATGTTGTACATTGCATCTCCGAACTTATTTATCTTATAACTGAAAATTTGTACCTTTTGATCACCTTCATCTAATTCCTCCATCTCCCACTCCCTGCCTCTAGCAACCACCAATCTGATCTCTATTTCTATAAGTTTGTTTTTTTTAGATTCCACATATAAGTGGAATCATACAGTATTTGTTTCTCTGTCTGACTTATTCCACTTAGCATGATACCCTATAGGTCCATCCATGTTGTCATGAATGTCAGGATTTCTTTATCTTTTATGGCTTAATAGTATTCCATTGTTTATATATGCATCATATTTTCTTCATCCATTCATCCGTCAGTGGACATTTAGGTTGTTTCCATGTCTTGGCTATTGTGAATAATGCTGCAGTTAACATGGGGTGCAGATATCTCTTTGGGACTTCAGTTCCTTCAGATATACTCAGAAGTGGGATTGCTGGATCATATGGTAGTTTCATTTTTAATTTTTTCGAGGAACCTCCAAACTGTTTTCCATAGTGGCTGCAGCAATTTACATTCCCACCAACAGTGCCCAAGGGTTTCCTTTTCTACACATCTTCGCCATTGAGTGTTATTGTAATAAGTGTCATCTGGATGCACCTGAAGTCCTATAGTCAGTGGGATGGCCACGCTGCTTTTATTATGTATCTTTCTCTCTCTTCAAGGTGGTCCCTAGGAAATGGTGTAGAGTAAGTGTCAGCAAACTTTTTCTTAAAGGGTCAGATAGTAAATATTTTTGGCTTTGCATGCTGTATGGCTTCTGTCACAACTGCTCAACTCTGCCATTATAGTGTGAAGCAACCACAGATAGTCCATAAAACAAATGTGTGGCTGTGTTCCAATAAAATGTTGTTTATGGACACTGACATTTGAATTTCATATAATTTTACCTATCACAAAATATTATGCTTTTGATTTTTTTCCAATGATTTAAAAATGTAAAAGCCATTCCTAGCTCACAGGCCATACAAAAACAGACGGCTGGCTGTATTTGGCCCACAGTCTATAGTTTGACTACCCTTGGCATAGAGGCTTCAGGGATTTGTGTTTTTCAGAATGTTACTTGGCAATTAATATGGTTTGTTTTTTCCATTACAGTTGACATACAGTATTAGTTTCAGGTGTACAACATAGTGATTAGATATTTATACAACTTATGATCACCCAGATAAGTCTAGTACTCACATGACACTATTCCTAGTTACTACAATATTATTGACTATATTCTTTGTTCTGTACTTTACATTCCTGTGACTGTTTTTAATAACTTCCAATTTGTACAGCTTAATCCCTTCACCTTTTTCAGTCATCCCGTCAACCACCTTCCCAGCTGGCAACTATCAAAATGTTCTCTGTGTCTATGAGTTTGTTTCTGTTGCAATTAATGTGGTTTTAATTTGAGAGGTTTGGTTGAGTTCAGTAACCATAAATTGCTCATATGGCTGAATATGATTTCAAAAGATGGACTTTCAAAAGTATTCCTGATATATATCAGGAAAAATCTGCCACTGAGTCATATGTATAGAATGTAGGTACTGGCCATGGCTACTTTTTGCTTTTGCAGGGAAAGCAGTCCCTGAAAAAAGAAGTCAGTGGAAAAAGTGGTGGGAAAATGTTGCATATGCTTAACTAGGATTCAGGCTAAACATCGAAGTCCTGTGTGAGTGAAATAAAGGGTCAGGAGTACTCATGGAGAAAAACGATGAAGGGAACATGTAGTCAGACCAAGAGAAGGAGAAGAAAAAGACAGCATCTTAAATTTGATAAAATTAATTGAGTCAGATGCTGTTGTAGAACATTTTGAAGTAGAGAGAACAATAGTTTTTCTATAATTGTAAATATGGTGAAAATATATTATTATGAGTTGTATAGAATGTTTAAAAGGCTGCCTTTGCTATGACATGATGTCCTTTGTCTTTCAAGAAATAATCCTTTATTTTTAAGGATTTTAGATTGTTTTTTCAGTTTTAGAATCAATGCTATTCAAAATGTGGCATCCACACTTATTAGAAATGCTAATTCTTGTGCCACACCCCAGACCTACTGAGCAGAAACTCTGGGGATGGGGCTGGTCCTGTGTTTAACCAGACTTCCAGGATTTCTGATGTGCACCCGGCTTTGAGAAACACTGATTTTAATCACATAATAGGGATACCAACTCATACTCCATCATCCTCTTATAGATAGCAGTGTTTACAGTGAGGTTCCAGGGCAGGATTTTTGATGGATACTTTTCACTAACTGCTCTTTTTAAGGGCAGCCACCCAAAGGAGGTGGGCAGAAAGAATGTTCCTGTTGTAAAAGGAGAGGGATTTTTCTTACAAGTAAACAAGATGGAACATGATCCAGGGTGTTGCTTCTGGAATCCGGGGAAAACAGTTTCTTGTGGGTAGTTGTCTTATTAGTCTCTCCTTCTGTCTACACTGCGTCAACTTGCCCACAGAGCACTGACTGTAGACAGCATTCCACGTTCTTGTCATGCTGTTGTGGGTAGAGAGAGGATGGTGATACAGGAAGAGACGTCTTTAATTGTTTCTTTCTGTCCACTACTCATTTTGTGTCAGGAATACACTTTCCTTAAGCTCCTTCCACAGAGTGACCTTTTTTCCATAGTACCTGGCACATTCAGCTGGAGACTTATACATGAATTTGAATAACCCAAAGTTTTAAAATTGTGAGAACCTAAAGAGGATGATCTCACAAAGCATACAAAACAGTTTCTTAATGCAAATAAATAAACTGTGAATTGAGATGTGCAATTATATATGACATATGTTGGTAATATGCATTGCTATTAAAATTTTACTTGGTGCTAATTGTTGTATGAGGTTAATGGTGATCCACTATGAGTTGTTGGAAGAAATAGTTTCAAATTAAAGCATATAAGGTTTTTTATGGAATGAAGACCCTTATTGTCTGGGTAAAAATTCACTGTGGTGGCCTGATGGGCAGATTGTCCAGTCTGACTTGGGAGAACCAGAATAATGTTTTTCTTGCTGCACCAGAGTGAATTAGTTATTTTGTGCTCTGTGTGCCCACCATGCTCTAATAATCATGCCTATAATGATAATATTACTACTAATAAAAAGCAATTTGTGGTTATGACATGCTAACTACTTTATAGTACTCGATCTCATTTAATCCTAAAAACAATCTCATAAAGTAGATAATATTATTGTGCCCATCCTTCACACAAGGAAACTGAGGCTCAGAGAGTCTATACAATTTGCCAACGCTCACACAGCTAATTTTTAGTTGAACTAGGATTTGCATCCAGGGAAGTCTGACTTCTGGAGTTCACCTTTCTTGCCACAGAACCTGTATTTACCACAGTGTGTGGCAATTACTTGTGTAGGTAATTGTGGTCTCCCTCCTTGAGGTCAGGGACTGGCTTTGTTGCTTCCCTCAGAGTTAGAGTAGTGTTGGTTACATACTTGGGGCTGAATAAATATTTGTCCCATAAGGGAAGAAATGAGTGAATAAATGAGTAAATAGAATAAACATTCATCCTTTCAGTTGTTAATGCTGGGTAGAAGAGACAGATGGACTTTCCACCAGAAAGGCTATTATCCCAGACTTTTGCTATTCATAACCACATAGCTTCCAAAAATTCATGGTTTAATCTTAATCTGTGACTTGTTTCAGATATTGTCTATCTGCTGTCTCTATCAGTCATTTTTTTCCTCTTTAAAATTTTTTCCCTCAGTAAAAATAAGCCTTTAGGTCTCTCCCAACCACAGACGTATATAACGCTAGCTGTTTTTGAGGTTTTCAGTAGGTATGTAGCCCTAGGTGAGCAATTCATTTTTTTAGTCAACAGATATTTACTGAGTACTGGCTATATGCCAAACACTGATCTAGGGGCTTGGGACACATCAGTGAACAAAACAGAACAAAAAGCCCTACCCTTATAGAACTTACATTCTAGCATAGGGAGGTAGAAAATAAACAATAAAGATAATATGTAAGTCTATTCTGTAGTATATGGGAAATATTAAGTACCATGGAAAAAATAAAGAATGTAATAAGTTGCTATGAAAAGAATAAAGGGGAACTGAGAGTATGGTGTTGAGGAGCACCCATGGTTTCAATTTTAAATAGTGTGGTCTGGATGTACCTTACTGAGGAAATATGTTCTAAGTAGAAGGAACAGTCAGTGCAAAGATCCTGAGCAAGGAGCAGGCTTGGGACATCCAAGCAACAGCCAGGAGGCTGATACCAGTAGAGTAGATGACTAAAGGTCAGAGTAGACAAATAAAGGTAATGGTGGATCAGATAACATAGGGCCTTGTAGACTGTTATAAGGATTCTTTTGACTTTGAGTGATAAGGGGAGCCTTTGGGAGATCTGAACAGTGGAGTGACTAGATCTGATTTACATATTAAAAGAATCTTTCCAAATGCCTTGTTGAGAGTAAAATGTAGAAGGGCAATGGTAGAAGTAAAGACCAGGCAAGAGGCTACTGCACTAGTCCCAAGAGAAAAGTTGCTATGGATCTGGGTAGGTGCCATAGAAGTGATGAGAAATAGCAGATTCTGGAAATATTTTGAAGGTCAAACCAATAGTATTTCCTGACTGGGTATGAAGTGTGAAAAAGAGAGAAGTTAAGGATGACTCCCAAGGTTTTGGCCTGGGCACCTAGAAAGATTGAATTGCTATCTATTGAGATGAAAAAGACTTTCAGTAGAGTAGGTTTGGGGCAAAAGCACAAGTTCAGTTTCGAAACAAGTTAAATTTGCAATATCTATTAGATATCAAGTGGAGATGCTGAATAACCAGTTGGATATATGACTTTGGAGTTTGGGAGAGAGGTCTGCGCTAGAGATAGAAATTTGGAAGTCATCAACGTGTGGATGGTATTTAAAGCCTTGATACTAGAAGAAATCACCACAGGAGGGAACATACATAGAGAAGTAGATAACAAAGTTATTCCTTGTTATCCCCAGGACACCCCAAATTAAGAGATTGAGGCAAAGAGTAAGAACCAGCAAAGGAGACTGAAAAATAGCAAACAAGGAGGTAGGAGCAAAACCAAGAGAATACAGGATCCTGGAATCTAAGTGAAGCAAGAGTGTCACAGAAGGAGCGATCATTTGTACCAATTGCTGGTGATTGGTCAAGTTGGACACAAAAATGAACCATTGATATTGGGGAGATCTTTGTGGACCTTGACAAGAGCAGTTTAGGTAGAACAAACCTGATGGAAATGTATTTAAGAGAAAATGAGAGAAGAAGTCAAGGCAGTGATGATAGATAACTCCAGGCTGTGTGTAGAAAAAGTTAAGACATAGCTACTGGACCTAGGAATTTATCAGTTGTTTTGGGACAATAGGAATAAATACATTTAAAAAAATCAGCCAAGATTACAAGTCTATACAGTGCTAAATTGGGTACCACAGATTATGATCTGTGTAGGAGGTGTGAGTAGATGGTCAGCTGGGAGGGCAGCCATGGTCAAGGAGAGCTCTACTGATTGGGCCCAAATGGATGGACAGTACTCTGGGCAGGCATAAGAAAGAATGAGGGTGTGCTCTGGGATGACACCAAGCGAAGACCTGGAAGCAGAAATGAGCACAGAATGGAGCAGTAAATGAAATGGCTTATGTGACTTGAATAGAAGAATATGTTATAGGTGGTCACAACAAATAGCTGTTACGTGTGTGTTTTTGAACTTTGAGGCTCAATGTCCCAGAAAGCCAGATTGAGCAGAATAGGTGGTGATACAATAGGAAGCAGTGGAAATACTAAAGTTTTTAGAGTGCTGGGAGTATTGTGATAGTGTTTAGAGAAGTTTGATAAATTAGCTTAATAGTCAAGAAAATATCTGAGGATACTTGCAAGTGTTTTTCAAAGTGTACTCTGGGACCACTTCATTAGAATTCCTTGGGGAGCTTATTAAAAATACAGGTTTCTTGAGATGAAGCTAACTAGTGAGTCCATATCTCTGAGGGTGGGACTTTGGATTCTGTATATTTAGCAAGCTCTCCAGGTGACTTATACACAGTAAAGTTTGTGAACTGCTGGTCTAAACATTTTGTTTGAGTAGATTATATTCTTGATTGATGAGCTCTCTAGAACACTAGAATTAGGTGAAAAATTGACACATTAAAAATGAAAAATCCACACTTACCATATATACTTATAAATTTATGTAAGTGCTAAGAAGCTATATTTACAATAGCATTCATTTGGCCTGACATTTGACCTCATTCAGTTGTTTCAATGATATTTCAGGCATCCGTAAAAGTTATGGGTATTTTATTAGAGAGGGTTACCAAATCTGTTTGTTACTTATAAATCTAATTATGTACTAGAGAAGAAGATTGACAAGGTATAGCTTCCCCCATGTACCATGTGAGGTCTGTCTAAAGTCTGGGAAACTAGGAACTAAGAAAACAGAGCTATGGAGATCTAGCTGTTTTGCCCAGTCTGCCCTGGGGCTACCCTTCCAAATTGCTGGTTTTCATCTCATATGAGGCCTCAAACTGGGAATTGTGGCACCATGTTTTTTCAGTCCTGCACCCTTGGACAATCTGAGAAAGGGGCAGAGGAAAGCACTTTTTGTTTCTGCAAATCGGAAATGTTTTTGTTTTTGCTTTTCTATTTTTTTTTTTAAACAGAAAAATTCAAACAGGAAAATTCGAAAGTGACGACTTCACTGCTTAGAGTTATGACAGAGAAGTGACAGAGTACATGGTTTATTTTACTCTCTGCCTCCTTGGAGTAATGATTTTGATTATCAAAGACCTCCGAGAGGGTTTAGGATTTGTTAAGTAGTCTACATTTCGCTAACTGATATTTATAGATATGCTTCTGCTGAAAGACCATAAATTAATTTCTTCAATGACAAGGCAATCAGCTTTGGGAACTTTTGATTCTAGACTTCAATCTCGTTTTCAGCCTACTAGACTCTTCTATTCATGCATAGAATTGTAAGTGCAAATTCCAATTTATATGATCTTATAACAACTTTCTACAAACATTAATTGAGTACTTACAATGTAAAAAGTGTTATATTAGACAACAGTTAGTAAGATGCAGTCCTAGCCCCCAGAAAACAGACTTGTAATGGCTACTTACAATATAAGTGATAAGTGAAATAATATTTAATATAACAGTTGACAGGGAAAAGGTGATTTTTCCATTGAAGTGAGTTTGGGGATACTTGGGAACTGAGGGATTGGCTCAAGGAAGGAGAAGATGTGGGGCTAGAAGAAAGAATAGAAATGGGCATGAGAAAGTAGGAGGTGAAATAGAGAAGTGGCCCCAGGCACCTGTGAAGCACACCTGCTGGCATGCTCGTGCTCAGGAAATGAAGGCCAGGTGCTGTTCTTGCTGACACGATTGTTGTGAGTAGGGAACAAGCTTTGTGAGTAGGCAACTACCGTTTAATGCAGCTGGTTTGCATAGTATGTTTATGACATGTTTTGGGTACATTTTTCCAGCATACCCTGGACATCTAAAGAATAAGTGATGCTTTAATACATTGAGAAAATTCCTCTGCATATAGATTTAGAGCCTTAGTAAGAATATGGTTGAACATTTTCAACTTCAGAGAGTTTATCCTATTCTCTTAAAACTATAACACACTTGGGGGATAGGGGATGGGTGATATGGGCAAAGGTGGTCAAAAGTACAAACTTCCACTTATAAAATAAGTCATGGGAATATAATGTGTAGCATGGTGACTATAGTTAATACTACTATATTATATATTTGAAAGTTGCTAAGAGAGTAGATCTTAAAAGTTCTCATAACTAGAAAAAAATTAAGTCTAAGTATAGGAGGTGAACATACAGTGTAAATATATATATGCCTTACTGTTAAAATGTACAGCTGAAACTTATCGGATTTCGTTAACCAATGTCACCATAAAAATAAATTAATTAAAAAAATCTTGCAACTATGTATGGTGACAGATGTTAACTAGACTTATTGTGATGATCACTGCACAATATATACAGATATTGAATCATGTACACCTGAAACTAATATAATGTTATATGTCATTTATAACTCAATTTAAAAAATCCATGGCGCACGTTTTGCAGGTTTTATTTTACATACATAATGTATGGAAGATTACTTGTATAATGCTGTAACCCTCATTTCTGTTTCATTTAGCTATGGCAGCATAAGCAACATACTCCGTTTTTTTGCGAAACTAATCACACACAAATGTGCAGATGTGGACAGGCTGTTTATTATTTCATATTTTCTCAGTGATGACACAATTTCAGTGTTTGAACCCATAGAGAGGAATTCAGGTAAGAGACATCCTTTCATAGCAATTTCCTTAGAACAATTAACTGTCTCTTCATTTTGAAAATTAGGGAGTATAATCTAATTTTATAGCCTAGGCAATCTAAGATTGCGGCTTTCATTTTTTTTAACCATTAAAGTTTATTTTATAAAGATCTCTAAATGGGAACCCAGACATATAAAATGAAAAAAAAAAAAAAGGAACAGTTTTGGTTGGATCAGGACTGGGGAACTTGGTATGCCTCCTTTTGGACATTATCCTCCCTTCCTCTGCGGCTTCTGAGGCACCTCTGTGGAATCCAAGGGCTTCAAAATCATGAGCTGGCTACCGCCCATTCCACTCACATCCAGCAAGAGGGAATCTGTATTCTTCATAGTACCACTTACAAGACTTGCTTAACTATAAGACAAGAATCCCAGATTAACAAATTTAACCTTCAGAGTCCATCTTCCTTTGGTTTTTCTGTCTGTTGAGGCTGTTGCCAAGGTTCTGGCACCCAGGCCCATGGAATGCCTCTCCATAGTGTACTGATACTATGGCCCTTGCCGAGGCAAGCCATTGATTTTGACTTACCCAATTATGGAATTTCAGAACTCTGTTCTTGTCCCAACATGTTTAAAACTTTTACTTGTGCTGAAGACACATGTTTGGGAAGAATAATCAGTGGCATGCTGGTTAACAGGCCCTATGAAAAATTTTAAAGGCCCTAAAATTTGTACCATTTGCCCATTTCTGTAGTGTAAATACCCTAGCGATGGCCATTTTCAGTTTCAAGCAACTAACGTTTAACCACTGCCTTGCAAAATCTCTGAAAATTGAACAGTCAGCCATGATGAACTGGTATGAGCCACTCAACACACCAGTGAATAATGAATCATTTGTATAATTAAGTCAGGCTCCACAGTGATTTGAATAATGGCTCAAATCTTAAAATATGAAACAAATAGAGATGAATATAAAGTAATGCTCTTAGAGATCAAAAACTCAACTCTATACATCTAGAATGGGGAAGATATGGCCAAGCCAATTACAGCATATTAAAACTGAAAGGGTGCTGGTAGTCAACTACATGCTTACCAGTAATAATAGCAGCCATGATTGAGTAATTACTATTGTCCTTACAAGAAATTTATAAGAGGAAAACCCTAAGATGAGGATTTAAAGTACAAGAGATTTATTAGGGGAAATGCTGGTGAAGGAAATTGTGGAAGGAGCTACAAGACAACCAGAATAGCCATCAGACTGCATTGCATGTCTGATTCCTGTGAAGGACAGAGGGAAGAATGAAAGGAGGAGGTTTTAGACTGCAGTGAAATTCTGAGAAAGTTTCAGTAAGGCCAACGGGGAGTCCTAGAGCCAAAGCCACTAGTTGGAGGAACCCCTATCTTGCGGAAATGGACCTGCCTTCATATCTTTACGTTATTTAGTCATTTACTGGCAGCAACCTATGGGAAACATGCCTTCAGCACAAACTCTGAGGATAGATTTAAGAACATTGCATCTGGGACCTTACGTCTCCTATGTTCCCCATCAGTAGCCAACCTGAGAAATACATTTTCATAGCACCCACAAATTTTCCTATTTTATAAGCGAGAATTCAGAGAGGTTCAGAGAGATTAAATAACTCCTAAAGATCATTGAGTAAGCAAGTGACAGAGCCAAGATGGACTCCAGCTGTATTTGGCTCCAAAGCCTAGTCTTTTCATCACCTGTGGTTTCCGAATATGGTAGGAGGAGTGTGATGAAGCTGACTCTACAAGCTCATCTAGTCTCAGGTCGTAGTCATAGGTCTGAAGATTTCAGTTCACTATCAATTAGAAGATACCATTGTCCCCATGTTCAACTCTGCTTGCTGATTTCCAAAAGGTCAAAAACCAGATAATGCCCAGAAGAGAGGAAATGAAATGGTGAGAATTCTGGAAAGCAAGAAATATGAGGCATTACTAAAAGAAGCAAAGATATTTTGCCTATAGAAAAAAATAATTAAGGGGACTCCCATTGTTATCCTTAAACAATGAAGTAAGCTCCTTTCCAGAAGTGGAGCATTTTACACTTAATCTGCATGTCGGAGTAAGTGTAAGATATCATCTTGGACAAATGGGTGGAAATAAATTCAAGTACCTAGTCGTGTTCAAAAATATTCACAGATGATTACCTTCCTGATGTCCCAGTTCCCAGTATGCTGCTGGGCATATAGCAGGAAATTGCGAAGTGTTTATTGAAGTGTTTGGACTGGGAATGGAGTAGAGAGAGGAAAGAAAAAGTTGGAATGCCATATCACTTTTCTCTTTACACATTCACCTAGGAAATCTAATTTCTTAACCCGCTGTCTCATTCTTCCCTTCAGTCTGAGAATAATAGGCAATATGAGTTCACAGTTAAGTTGTATGGTTTGTGTTTGAGTTGAAGTAACTCTAAAGGCAAGTTGTATGGTTCTGTTAAGAATAAAGGCTACTTACCAACTTTTCTCTTTTTCTATAGGGAATGCTGGTGGGCAATTCTTAAAAAGAATGCGTGTTAAGAAACCTGGACAAGAAGTCTTTAAAAGTGAACTATCAGAATATATGAAGGTTGAGGAGCTGTATATTGGAGCCACAGTGAATGTGAATGGCTACCTGTTTCTTTTGCTCAATGCTGATGAGTACACTTTAAAATTCATGGAGAAGAATTCAGAGAAGGTGAGCTTACTTTGTATAATCTTTCACTTGCCTCTCAGCACTTTGCAATCTGTGTTTTTCTTTCTCTAGGCCTTTTCTTCTTCATCTTGCTACCCATTTTACATTGTTCATTCACACATGTGGGCATGAATAATGGATCCGTGTGACTTGGCTAAAGGTCCTGTCACAGAGGCCAGGTCCCGGTCTACTCTGTTTACACTCTGGGTCCTTTGCTGCCTAGCACCACAGATGCCAAGCACAGGAAGCAGGCCCAGAGTTGAATCAAGTTTCCTGGGTTTTCTGCTGACGCCAACAATGTTTTCAGAAAGAAATTCATCAACTATAGGAAAGGAAGAAAATCTGGTGCCACACACTGTGCTGTCCCAGTTAATTGGCACAGGCTTACAAGGAAGGCTAAGACCTGACAAACAGAAACCCCAAGGGAATGCAAAAGTTGCTGGGGTTGCAACTTTCCATAACAGGAGCCACCTGAGGCCTAAATAAGATTTCAAGGACAAATGGGCAACAGTAAGCTCAGAATTTTCTTTTATTTGAAATAAGATGGCAGATGGGTACGGTTACTAAAAGTATTATGGCAGTGCTGTTTAGTAAAAATAATGTGTTGATAAAATCTTGATTTTAAGTGTGGAATAACTTGGTATATAAACAACGTATATTTGAGAGTCATTGCCTACTATCGAAAAATCTATCTAGAAAAATTTAAAAAACTGCCCGTAAGAAATAATATTTATGAGCTAATTATATATACACACACACACACATGGTATTAATTATATATAAAATGCTCAGGGGTAAGTTACTAAGGTCAGTCTTTCTGTGTATGTCACATCATCCATGTCAATTGGTCTTCTGAGAAGCATATGCCAAGACAAAATTAGATATGTAAGAGATGTATTGGAAGAAATGCGTATGAAAGATAAAGGCAGAGAGAGCAGGAGTAGGTAGGGAGGCAGATGTGAAGGTCTGAGCCCTAAGGAGGAGAGGGAAGGAAGGAGGACAGGGTAGGAAGAGCCTCAAATGTGGCACAGTTCTGACAAAGTTTTGACCAGGCCAGCGGGGAGCCCAGAGTAAAGACTGCCATCAGAGAAGTTCTGTGTCAGATAGAATGGCCCACCTCTGGTGCCCTCACCATGTTGTCATTGGGGGGAACAGCCCAGGGAGAGTGTGGCCTTGGTAAGAACACTGCACAGATCCTGAAGTTATAGCACCTGGGGTATGTCAGCTAACAATGCTCTTCTCTGCACAGTCTCTCTGATGGTAGGCCTGCAGGGCTGCCACATTATCTCTCCATTTGAAGTATTAGAAATTTGGGTTATTGTAAAATCATGAACCAGTATCTCTTGAAAAGCGCTGAATTCAGGTGAGAAGCTCAATAATAAGGTAGTTAGATTTCTGGAGACCAGCAGGCTTAACAGGGAAACCTGACTCCACACTTAGAAGTTGAGAAAACTTAGACATGTAATTTCCCTGAGCTTCACTTTCCTCATCTTTGAAATGGGGGTAACAACAATGCCTCTTTCATAAACTTGCTATGAATATTAGATGAGATAATGTGTGTGAAGTGCTTTAGCTCTGTGTGGCTCATAACAAGCTCAGTCAGTGCGCAATTTACAATAGCTAATACAGGGCAGATCTATACCTTAATGTAAAATACAGTTGACCCGTGAACAACATGATGGTTAGGGCTGCCAACCCCCCACACAATAAAAAATCTGAATATAACTCTTGACTCCCCAAAAACTTAACTACAAACAGCTTGCTGCTAACTGGAAACCTTACTGATCCATAACATAAATAAACAGATATTTTGTATGTTATATTTATTATATACTATAGTCTTACAATATAGTAAGCTAGAGAAAAGAAAATATTAAGTAAATTATAAGGAAGAAAAAATACATTTGCAGTATTTATTGAAAAAAATTCACATATAAGTAGAGCCATGCAGTTCAAACCCATGTTGTTCCAGGGTCAACTGTATATAGCACATGGATGTATATATATTTTATTTTGTTTTATTTTTCAATTACAGTTGACATACAATAATGAATATGTATTTTTTTAAGATATAAAGGACTTTTCTAGTTTTAGAAAATAAAAAGCTAGGGCATTACCTGGTCTCAACATTCCAAGTGAAAAATTGCATAATTTTAAAACTGCCCTTAACAATGAGATTCTAAGCAGAGAAAGATTATTATACTCTGAGGAATCTTTTCAAAAGAACTAATAGATCCTATCATGGAAATAGATGAAAGGAAATATGAAAAAGGAAAGGAATGGGGGTTTACATTAGGTGCCAAATCTCCTGGTGGAAGAGAGAGAGCTTTATGCTAAATTGCCATCAGAGTTCTAATTTTCTTATTTAGTCTTCTCATTTTTTAGCTTCTCGCTGTAATTATTTACAACCTTATGCTTTACTGGATTGTATAAAGAGTATTCTTATAGAGTCAAAAACCAAAGCACAGAGTAGGAAACAGGAACTGGGGACTGTCTGGAGAGTAGATGTAAGGGGATTGCAGTGTATGTGAAGCTTTGACACCCAGCCTTGCTCTGCTCAGTGTATTGCCTGGTGGCCAACAGTTCTGGGAGCCCATTCTAAAGATCTGGAGAAAATGGGGGTCCGCTCATCCAATTTTGAATACCCATTCTCTCCATTAGGGTCTCCCAACATACTGGACCAATGTCTAAGAGTTAAAGGGAAGAAGCTGCTAAAGGGGAAGCAGGCATTGTTTTCTGATTCCTGTGGCCTGCTGTCCCTTAAGTTCATTTCTCTTAGATCTGGGCCTATGCTAATGTTACTCGTCCTGAAGCCTTAACTGAAAACAAATTTAGTCCTGTCTTCTCTGTGTTGATCTCTATGGAAAGACATGGCCAGCTAACTTTAGGTTCCTAATGTGAAATCTTTTTCCTAGCCATCAGAAAAATTGGACACCCTATATCTCAGGCATGTTTAAATATCTTTACTATCTCTCCCCTCTTCTAGTTTCCTTTCAGCAACCTTGAACTTGCTCTACAAAAGCTGAAAGATGAAAAATCAAAATCCAGAGAGATCAAACAGGTATTTAGGGATGCTGATCCTGCGTTCACTAAGATGGTGGATTATAATACATTCAGGTAAGCCATATTCTGCTAGCAATAGTCTGTTTTCCCCTCAAGATTGTTCAAAGACCAAAAAGAACAATTTCTTCCCTAATGCTTTCTAAAGATTATGTATTTTTTATTAGAAATTGGCATTTCTTTCCATTTCCATATTACTTCGTAGTCAAATTTTGTCTTTCTAATAAATCTCATGTATTTGCATATTTAAAAAGTTTATAGGTGAGAACAGAGGGGCAAAAGCCTAGAAAGTCAGTCAGTCACATTGTCTTGTAAATCGTGGCATTGAAGGATCTGGGGCATGCGGGGAGGGGTGCATCTGAGTGAGAAAGGCAGAAAAAAATGTAGCTAAGAACCACCCTCCCAGATCTGGTCAACAAAGGAAGAATATCTCCCTAGGAATGTGATCCAATTGGAAAAGATAATGGAAACTTTACTGAGGATCAGAGAAAAGATGATAATATATGAGTCTGTGTGTATGTATGCTTACACACGTATGTGTATTTTGAAAGAGATAAGAATATAGAAATCGAGGGAAAATATGACAGTAGTTAGAAATATTATAAGAAATTATGAACAATAAAGATTTTCTCTAAGGTAAAGCCGAATTCTAGGATGGTCCAGTGGCTAACCTAGGCAAATTTCCAAACAGCAGATACACAGGGAAATTCAAATTCAGGGTCTTAGTACAATTGTGAGACTTCTCTTAGCCTGAGAACAAAGTGAATGGAGCGTTCAGGAGAATATAAATTAAATCATAGATGGAGGACAAAGGGGACTTTCTCTTTAGGCTGAGAATTCTGGCTTCTGAAGACAATAGTGACTGAAAGCTATATAGGAAACTCGGCTTGATGCAGTCAAGATGTGGGCTAAGAAATGAGGAAGTCAGCCCAGGAGAGGGTAGAAGGGAGATCTTTCCAACTTTGTGCCTGAAGTTGCCTATTGCACTAATATCTAGTGACCTGAGTCCACCATGAAGCACAAAGTGTCCCAAAAGCTCATTTGTTGTTTTAACAAAGCTCTTTTGTTTTTCCAAAATGTTCTTTTGAGAGAAGCAGTCAGAGGACATATTTTTATTGTTTAGAATTCCCAACCTTCTGGGATCAGTAAGAATTTATAGTTCTTTGTGATTGTTCATAGTAGTACACATGGCCGTGGCCTTTTGCAAAATAAGTGGAGACAGAGTAAAGAACAAAGACAATAGCTCAGGGCATGGACTAATGGCAAGCAGTGGAGGAGAAAACAAATTTCCATCAGAAATGAGGGAGCGGTTTTATTTTATTATTTTGTGTCCTTTTACTAAAGCACCCATTCTCTCAACACTCTAGCAAAGTCTATTGGAAACACTTTACAGAATTTATGGGGCTTTAGGGGAAGAACCTCAGTCAAGCAGGAGATCCAAGCAGGAAAAGTTGTTCTGTAGATGGAGGTCTGACCCCTAACCCTAATTGCAGGTGGAATAAAGCAGTGGTCCCCAACCTTTTTGGCACCAGGGACCCCAGTGCTCCTATGAGAATCAACTGGCAGTATTAGTCCATGGCCTGAGTATGGGGACTCCTGGAATAAAGGACCATTGCATTGTGCGATTGGAAGATGGCCTCAGGCATTGCATGCTCAGAAATAACAAGCTCCTGATCTTTAGGCCCTCTCCTGATCAAAAATTCCTTAAGATGAAAATCAGATCAGGTCATGTCTGGCTTGAGAAACCCTTCAGTGGCTTACCATTGTCCTTACAATAGGAGCCAAACATTTTACTGCAGCTGTCAGGGCCTTGAGTGATGTGACTCTCTGTTTACATTTCCAGTGTCATCACTTCTTTTTCTCCAGCCCTGTCCTCTGGACTTGCTGGCTGTCACTCAGTTTCTTAAACACATCAAGCTTTTTCCTGCCTCTAAGCCTTTGCACTTCTCTCTGCTTGGAATGTCTACACCATCATCCTTTTCACGGCAAACCAGGACTCATCATCACTTTCTCAGATGTACTTACTTTCTTACTCCTAACTAAAATAGTTCACTCACTTATCCTTAACCCCTTGTTAATATTTTTCATAATACAACTAACAATTACTTTACTTAGATATCTGTACTTGGTGTATGTGTGCTTGTGTGCGTCCTATCCTATTAGAATATGAGCTTTCTAAAGGACAGGGACCTCGATGACCCTGTTCACTGCCCTTCCCCTGGCACTTAGTGCTGGACTCAGTACATACCATAGTTCCTGAATGGAATAATCAACTACTAGAATTATTCTTAGGGCTTCTAGTTTGGAGGTGGTGGCATTGTCTCCAGATGAGAGTGTAGGCCAGGAGTCAAGATGTCTTGCAGGGTCCATATGACATGGTCAGTATTGGGCACTGTGCCTTCTGTGGTTGGCCCACAGCTGTAGGTCCTTAGTTTATGGTCTTCATCCCTCTCTTTTGCTCCTCATGCTCATTCCTGGGCAAAGGAACTACATAGTTAGTCGCTATCACACCACACCCTATAATTCTGTGCCTGGCACTTTCACAAGCTAATATTTTTTCTTTTATTTATATGTATATGTATGTGTATATTTTTTGGCTCTCATCACCAGAACATAACCTTATCGAAGGCAGTGACCTCTTTCTTGTCTTCTGCCTTAGCCTTATCAATTTTCACAATGCCTGGATGATAGGGTGTTAATAAATATTTGTTAAGTGGCTGCATTTTATCCAGCCCTCAGTGCTCTGGCTGTCAGCCAAAGGCTGAGTTCTCCACATTAGCTCTTCAAGCTCAGACCATTCTCCTGAACTATAAACCTGGAAATATGAATGCCTCTGGGACATCTCTCTCTTAGGTGTCCCTTAGGCATCCCAAAATAACTTACCCTAAATTGACCTCATTTTCTTCTCCAATGAAGTTGCATCTGGAGACCCTATCTTGGTAAAGGCCACCATACTTGTCTCCAGGGCCTGGGCCAAGGTGCCTTGTCTCTCCCCTCTCTCCTACCTTGACTTCTCCCAATCTCTTGTAATTGCACTTCTTAAACTACCCCTCTTCATCCCCAGCTTCATTGTTGCAATTCAGTTTTTCATCACTGTTCACTTGAGAGCTACGTAACTAATCTTTGCTTAACTCTCATATTCTAGTTTTCCCAGAGTGACCTTCCTAAATTCTGATCATGTCATTCCTCTGCTCTAAACCCTACAACAGTTCTTCATTGCCTTCAGGGTAAATCCCACCCTTTCAGTGTTTCATGTGAGTTTGGTCATGATCTGACCCTTGCCTATACCTCTCGTTGTTTCCATCTCACTAGATTACTTTTGTAGACGTCACCATTTATCGAACATTTATGTTGGGCCAGACATCATGCTAAATGCTTTTCATCTGCTATCCATTGGTAGCCCCTGTTATTTGTTTACTTTCTTGCCTCTGCAGTTGGCTCCTGCCAAGTACAATAGATGTTTGTTGAATAATTTAATGAATGGTCTGATTTCTCAAGAAACATTCAGTCTACAGTTTGCAGCAAACAAGTAAATAATTGATTACCTTGCACTGGGGAAGGACAATCTGTCTCTGACTATAGGGGAGTCATGGAGAGCTAGGCCTCACTCACACAAGCCAAGTGACTTGGACAACTCACTTCACCTACCTGTACCTCACTCTTTGTCTATCTAATGGTCTCCAAGGCATGTTCCAGGTGCTAACATTCTGAAACTCTTAAAATGTAGGTTTATAAACACACTTGTAAAATATTCCCCTTTCGAATTCGTGCGTTGAAGTAATAGAGTAGGCAGGCAGAGACAGGATTGTGGTGTAGGCCTCTGGACTCCATTTCTGTAGCCCTGACTCTCTCCCTTGCTTATATATCTCACACTCTCAGTATACATGTGGGGACTCAGCCCAGACCTGCTGCTCTGGGCAGTGGTCCAAGCCCTGGGCATTTTTCTTCTCAGGGATTAGCCCCACTTCTCAGGGATACGCCCCACTTTTCAGGGATACCTTGAGGGCAGTTGCTAATAAACTACCTCTGCATAAGGTGCCAGGGTCGATAATGGATTAATAGGTTAACATGTAGGCCTTCCTGAGATATTTGCCTCAAAATGGACCAGAAATAATGCAGGGACGGGAGAGAAAAGGAGGCACTTTGGGGAGGGAATGTTTCTCTTGCCTTGGGGTTACTAGTTCTGTCTTTAGGCTGGACCTAGTTCTCTGGGACCTTTTTTTCATGGTCTGTCAGATTGGCCTATGAGAGTTGCTGATCATGAGCAAAGAGCATGCAGAGAGCCTTTCTCAGAGTCTCAATATCTGACGGCAAATTTCATCAGGGAGTGGAGCAGGGACTAGGCCTGGCAGGGTTAGTGTTTCCAGCAATTGGGAACATGGGCAGGGCGAGGCTTCCCAATGTGGGCCATAGACTCTTAACCACAGGTGGCAGCAGCAACAGCGAGGACCCCATGCCAGGGAAGATGTGGCCAGTCCCCGCCTCTGGCCACCTCCCAGAGCCTTGATCTACGCATCAGAGATGACACTCATTCCATGTAGCCTGTGTGTATTTTGGGTTTCTTTGTGCTTCCCTCTTCTCCCTACTTGGGCGGAACTCTTCGAGGGCAGGGCCCATGCCCATTTCACCCTTGTGTCTTTCCCAGATACCTCCAGTACTGTTTCTCAGGCCTCAGTGAATGTACTGAATTATTACACAGTTCCTCCACAGACCCCCATTATCAACTACAGGGTCAGGAGATTTCCTGTGAACATCCACCTAATAAATTCCTAAGATTTAGAGCCTCAAGAAAATTTTCTTTCTTGTAAAACTAAAATTCTTCCTGAGGGAGGTAGTATAACAAATAGATCTGATTTTGGACTTGTAGACCTGAATCCAAATCTCAGCTTTGCCATTTGTCAGTGTAGTAGTCTTGAATAAGTTGTTCAACAATGTTTTCACCTGTAAAATGAGGATAATAATACCTACTACATACATCCTTTGTGATGAATAACTTTGATAATGTGTATAAAGTTCGTATTTTAGCACACTGTAGTGCATAGTGGACTCTAGAAAAC